TTTAAATGCACTTCGTGATTTCACCTTCAATAAATGGACAATCGTACCAACAAAAATAAAGCAAATTACGTATAACTTATACGAAACTAAATTAATGACAACGGTAATCCATCACAGATTAATGTAGGCATACTCTTGTAAGTAACTTTCCTAAAGGATCTTATGAGTGCCAATATTGTTATAACACTCAAATAAAGGTTAATCAACTTGAACCCTATTAAAGGTTTACCACTATAAATCCATGTTTTAAATAAGTGGGTTTCAATAACTGTATCATAATTTATCATTTCAAGATTTAGAATGTTTTTAATAATATAATGTAAGCTAAATTTGGTTCGAGTTTGAGAAAGGACGAAAAATCTAGCCCCACCATGCATCACAGTAGAAACTCTAAGTGTGACGTAACCACCAAACAACCCAGCAAACAACACTGCTGCTGGCAACAACCCTGAACAACGCCACTAACAACACTTGTACAAACGACACCTCTTCACGGTGCTCGGTAACAAATGTGACGAGGGAGGAAACAAGTTTGTAAAGCTTTTGTCGAACTGTCGGAGTCTCTGGTGCGTGTATAACTAATGTCTGTGTTGCTAGCGTCGTCGCTGGGCGAATTATACATCGATCATGGTGTTAATCAACGTCAGAATTGTCTTTTGTTGAATATAATCATCACAACCAATATATTGAATAATTAGTGAGTAGATTTACAATAAGCAACCCGAAGACCATTACAATTGGATGCTGGAAGTAAACTTCTCTCCTATTGGGAAATCTGAACTGTTTTTGCGTATTTCCCATATAGGGAATAAACTATTACCGTAGTACTCATGGTAAGACTTGAACCCGGGACCGATTTTAACTTTTTCGTTTTGAGGTCCCTAGAGGCCAAAAATACGATTCGTTAAAATTTTTACATATGTGTGTATGTACGATAACTTGAGTAAATTTTGTCCGATTTTGATTAAATTCAGTTTAAAGGTGCAAGGCCGGATAAACTGAATGAGTTCGCGAACCAGGATGATCGGACCATATGAACGGGGTTTTACGGGTGGTTTTATGGGGTGAAAATTGGTTTTTCTAATTTTTGACCCTCTAAGCATGAAATTTCCAAATTTCTGTCCTGACCTTTTTAAAGAGCTTAAAAAACTAATAATTTAGTATATCAAAGTGTTTTTGTACAGTTATTGGTTACGGAGAAAATTCAAAAATTGTTAATTTAAAATTCCAATGTTATTCTTATGGATAATATTGTAAAGTTTTGTAGTTTAATTGTTTATGGATATATTTTGATCAAAGTTTGTCAATTCATTTATTTTATTCTAAGTTATTAATGCAGTATTTTACTAAAAACACATTTTTTACCCTCCATGTAGCAGCTAGCCTATGTACTCATAAAACCTAATGTTAATTAAATAAAATTTGATTGAAAATCAATTCAGGCAACTGGAAATTCGCTTAGTCGGCAGGTTTGCTGCGGTGGGGGTATTTTATATGTTCGTAGTGACGTCGCTGTGCAAGTTAAACAACAATAATTAATGTGTCAGAAGGGAATTATAATCAACATCAAATTCCCAATCAGTATAAAGAATTAAAATTTGAGTGATTCTACTGTGTTATAAAAGAAACCACCAATCCTATAAACTTTGGATACTGCAAGTAGACCAATTGTTGGGGATAGCTCTTTGCTAATCCGATTGCAAAATCTGCAGTCAATTTCGTTCAGTGTTTCATGACCGGTTTGTTTGAGTACGCTGGCATAAATTATTTAGTCGCTTTTTATAGAGTATTTTTTCCGTTTACCCTTTACTTCTGGTATTCATACTATAGGACAATAAATTTAAACAATTTGAACTCAATTAAACTATCTATACTTTAATAGATAGTTTAATTGAGTTCAAACTGTTTAAATTTGGTAAAATAACAATAAATGGTAAACATCTAAACGCAAACAGCACATATACCGGAGAGGAACGTATCTTAAAATTGTATTAAGCTGACCCTTGTAGCTGGCAAATCTATTAGAGAGTATGTGAAATCAATTCTTTAATTTCTTTGCTATATTTCACTTTGTGTTTGATAAACATTAAGCATTTTGGATTTAGCTTCAGTTTACCACGAAAATTATGTGGTATCCAGTTACTTATGATATGGTAAAATTAGTACTAGAACTATTAGTACACCCGAAGGGTACATTATATGTTTGCAATTTATATGCGTAAAAATTAAATGCATTTTATTTTCTATACCTTAAAAAAATTTTTAACGTTGGGAGGTCTGTAATGAAAAAGTGGGTTCGGAACATGTAAAAATACAACGTAGTACACTTAAAGACGGAGAACGTTTTATAAGAAAGCCTACTAATATTTAGGAACATCTGAAATTTCAAACAATCCTGATATTTTTGAGAATTGGATTTTTTATGTTACGGCGTGTAAATAAGTGTTTAATCGTTTCATTGGATTAAAACCATATAAAAAAACTAAGGGGGGAATAATAAAATGATATAGAAACAAAGAAGGGAAAATGACAGGATTCCTTGGTTCATGAAATTAAATTTAAATCTATAAGTTTAAGTTCAAACACAATTGATCGTACTTTTTCTGACATAAACATATAGCCAAGTCACTTGTAAAAATAGCTTAAGAATCAATCTAGTTCAGTTTCCATTTGTAACTGAACCACTTGTCACCGCAAGATTACATAAAGTGAACAAACGACAAATACACTCTACACTCCATTGACATAATTATCACTATCAGTAAGCACTCACGATCAGATCGGATGCCTTTTATTTAACATTTAAAGAGACCGCTTTAGCGCATGACGTCACCGTTTAAATGGCTTTGTTGAACGTGATGCCTAACCTTGCATTGTCAGTAAATAGCCTTGGCAGTAGCACAAACAGTGGACAGTGGCTTGGAGCATCATTGACTGGTATTGTTAGATCGTAGGAGGTGATATTCATAGAACAGGTCGATTCCGATTGTTTTACTTACTCAGGCTAGTTACGTACAACCGACTATTAATACAACTTCAGTATACAATAGTCAATGGTAGGCACAAAGTATGTTAAAATAGCTTCTAGATTCAATTTTGACGGATTAATCACCATGGGCGGTGATCTGATTAATTAAATTACTTAGGAAATAGATAGAATTGTTCAGTTTTCTTTAGAAAGTACTCTCATACAGAGGAACTTGTCATTTCCTTGGAGAAATTGTTATTTTGTTTCCCAGATCGGTTAATAGTATAGCTTATGGTGGATTCCGAACCACTGGGTCAGAACACTATCACATGTGTACAAGCCATTTATGACTGGCGGGATTTGAACCCGTGGCTCTATAATTGAAGGTTAGTTATGAGACACTAGATTAGCAATGGCCCTGTTTTTTTTTATTTAGTACAAAAAATAAAACCTTTTTAAACTTAAATTTTATAATCACTAATTTTAAATTTTTACTCATCGTTTCGAAAACTTCTATATAATTACTTAATAGTTCTTCAATCTGCGATAGTTATAAAATACCCCCGTCGCAGCAAACCTGCATACTAAGCGAATTTCCATTTACCCGGCTTGATTTCTACTAAAATATTCCCTATAAACTAGAATAGTTTATTTATTCTCCATAAGAATAACATGGGAATTTTAAATTTACAATTTTTTTAATTTTCTCCGTAGTCAATGAACATTCAAAAACACTTCAATATACTAAATTATTTGTTTTTTAAGCTCTTCAAAATGGTCTAGAGAGAAATTTAGAAATTTAAAGTTTTTAGGGTCAAAAATGAGAAAAACCTATTTTTACCCCATAAAACCCCCCATAAACCCCTGATCCCATGGTCCGATTATGCTGGTTCGCGAACTCGTTCGAATAAATGTAGGTTTACACGTTTGTACCAAATTTCATCAAAATCGGATCAATTTTGCTCGAGTTATCGCGCTAACGGACACATATATAAATATATATATATATATATATATATATATGAATTTGAACGGATGGTGTTTTTGGCCTCTGGGGACCTCAAAACAAAAAAGTAAATCGGTCCCGGGTCTAGGTCTTACCATGAGACCTACGGTAATAGCTTATTCCCTATATGGGAAATTCGCTAAAAAACAAAAAAACCGTTAAAAGTTATAAAAATAAATAAACAATGAAAATAAGTATTGTTGAATTCTACCTAATTTAGACACAATAGCTTTCCATGATATTTCCGTGAATGAAACAATAAGTTTTAGGTTCAGCCATTAAGCCAAATACAAACTAGATACAGTATTAAGCGAGTTAAGTGTCCAATCAAATTATTATTCTCGAGTCGGATAAGCTTGAAACTTTTAAATATTAAAACCAACTTTCAAAACTAGCATCATATTATTGTAATTGTTTAACAATTGTAATATATTACTTCATACAATTGACTTGTTAAAAGTGAATTAAAATTCCGTCTGTAAGAAATAACTTGTGTCAGCCTTTTATTTGAGAAGAAAATAATCAATTAAATGAGCCACTCAAAGTGTCATTTCTATATAAAATTCTATTTTTTCTTAGTTGTAATTGTTTTTACGGTTTATACATCATTAAGGTTATACAATAGGTTTCAATAAACTGTACTTGCAGTTTTGCTTGGTTAAAAATTTGGCACAGCCGACAAAAATCAGTAATTAACATTGGCTTAATCTGTCGAGGGTTCAATTATACTACGATCATTTTATTCTAAAGTTGTCAACAACTTTGATAGAAATAGAACGTCTGGTTCTGACCATAGTCAAAGCATGGATAAACAAAGTGGATACAAGAATCGGAAATATTACGATTAAAAGAATCAACTCACATTTCTGAACCAAAACCCGTGGTGAGAAACAATAAGGTTATTGAGAACTTTGGTGATAAGAGGTACATAGACGCGCCTGTGTGATAATATGATAACACACCGTACCAGAGAGTGGGGGGGGGCTCTCTCACTCCCTCTCTCTCTCACACACACAAACACTGCCACGACGTGTGACACCTCAGTAGTCAACAGTCAGTGTGTGCGTGACAAAGTGATAGTGTGTGCGACAAGTCATGGACCGACGGACGATATCAATCTAAGGTGAAATCCATTTGTCTTATGTTTTTGCTTGATCATTTCATATAAATATATGCTATAACTACATGGCTATCCCATAAATGAATAGGCAAGCATGTTTCTTCAAAATCTTTTTGCTCAGCTCGTTTACACATCGCAGGGAATATCTACACTTACCGGTACTGTAACATTTTCCTGTAAATGTGCAGAATCCCTTTCTGAATTAAAATAGGCTAAAAAATAAGCACACAAAATGAATTTAAAAAATTAACATGGACCATTATGGGTTATTATGGGTTGCCATGCTGGTGACGAAATAACACCGAAATGTAAACAGGAAATCAAAACAAATGGAATCAATTCTAATCACGTGTTTTATTTACAGCGTAAGGTGAAAATTGAGAAGTCTGTACATTACATCTTTTTGGTCAAGTTTTCGACCACTGGACGACCTCTAGTTATAAATTAAAATATAGGTACAACTTATATTTTTTTAAGACGTCAGTGAACCTCAGGGCGGTGGTGTGGCGGTTTGTTTGTAGTTTGTGAGCATAGTTTTAAAACCATAGTTTGTTTTTTTAGTGTTAACATAGATTTTACCCATAACAGTACGCTTTACATCTTAGTCAATTTAATCTTTCAAATATTACGCTGATGTTCTTATACTACAGAAATTGCTGGTAGATAAGTCAGGTTGTTAAAATAGGACGCGCATCGTTAATTTAACAGACACAGTTGTACAAAAATATTGGCTACATCACTCTAAGCTTTTGGAAAATATAAGATCTGCAAAACACCCTAAAACTATTACCAATGAACAGAATAAAATATTAACGATTAATAACTTAAGTAAGAACATCACCATAAACCATGACCTGTTAACTTAATTAATTCACGTTTTAACGTATTAATTAACGTAACTATGAGCTCAATTTGTATCAGTTTTTAGTTTAACAGGGAATGAATAATTATTTCTATTTAAATCAAAATAAACACAGTTAAATGAAAAAAAAACTCTTAGTAATGGTAAAGGCATGACAGGCTTTTTACCCATCGATATTAATAGAGAATCAATCCATGTCTGAGAACAATACTTTCTGTTCTAGCATCACGCAATTTAAGTTAAAAACTATTTATCATCAAAATTGCTTATTTCCTGGTTCAATACAGAATCACCATACCTTATCAGTATGAATCATACATTGCAATCTAGTATACATACAGCTGTATGACTACTTAACAATGTCGCTCTACAATTAAAAGAATATTGCATAGTTATAGTAACTCAAATGATTTCAACAAGTACTAGATGAATCAACACTTCTTTATTTTTGGTGAGAAGAATTGCAAACATGATTTCAACGAGGTAACATTTCCTTTATTTACATTGCTGTGCTTACATGTTAAGAAACTTTGTGTATTCGTTGCATAATTAATGTTTTTGTTTAATTTTCTTTTATAGTTGTAAATAGATTTTAGTTTTTATAGTTTATAGCCATAATTGAAACTCTATATCTATATATAAAGCCAAAAGTACCCATGAATCTTTGAGAAAACTACAAGTCACACCCCCATAAACCATATACTTAAAATGTTCGTCAGGATTAGAAACCATAAATTGCCCTTTAAGGTCGTAATTCTTTTCTAAAGGGAACTTTTCATATACCTAATCTTAAAAATACCTCAGCTGTACTTATTTGTTTGTTATTCTTTCAATTTATTACCTTATTAAAATCAGGTGTGATTATTTGTTTCTTTTTCTGTATTTTGTTTCTTTCAGGTTAACTTAACCAATCAATAGTTTTATTAATACTTATGATGTCAAACGGGGTGAAGCCCGTGGGCAATAGCTAGTTTACATAAAGACCGTTAGGTTATATATCAAACTATTATTATGTAAAGGCTTTTCTATTTGACAACATATCACTTCCATAAGCCCAATATAATTATAAACCCAAATTTAAATTTCGAAACTCCTTACCTTAGATTAATGATTTTGGTTTTTCGTGGAGATCAATGTTTTGGGTCCAACGAAATGTGTATTGACTAAAATAATTGTTGACTTAAATGCAAGTTAATCGAACATAAATACCTATAACTGTCTATTTGACTGATCGACGAATACCCGGACTTATTTCAAAGTCCTAGGCCGCTTTGGGCGGCTTATCACTGGACTCTTATCAACTGGAGCGTCCAGGACTAGACGTTCCCTCGGGAACTCATCTGCCGATACAATTCCCAACTCGGCTGACAACAGATATCCAGTTCAATACTAATCCGGCCAAACTGTTGAGGGACTGACTTGAGTATAAAACACTGGGGAAGACGAAACAATCAAACCAAGTAGAATTTGCCAATAATTACGTATAGATGAGTCCAACCGTCCAACGCATTTTCTGTATTTAAGGTGACTGAAGAAGTATGTAAGCTGTTTTGGAAGAGGAAATATTATTTAAAAATCGAATTTAATATTGAGTAAAATATACAATTTAAATTTGTTAAAATTATTAATCTTCAATTTAAAAACTTGCATAAATAGTTTTTACAAACTGTAATGAGCTAAAACATAGTGTGCTACAGTCTACGGTTCTATTTTCTCTCAATTTTTGTAGTTAGTAGGCCTATATTCAAAATACTAGGTTTCACTTGATTAATGTTTACGTATTAGACAGAATCGATCATTTTCATCAGAACCCATTGACAATGGCTCAAAGGACCTACGTAATGTTTTATTCTAAAACTGGCAACAATGTTTAGGAATATAACGTCTATCACTATCAATGGTCAAAGCTAGTATGCACACATACTGTCAATATAAGGTCACCATCGATTCTAACCAACATTACGTAGTAAATACTTTCCAACGTCTGCATACAGACATTGTATTATACCGTACACGTACACGATTCCTCCATGTGTGCAAGCGCATCACGCGCAGCTTGGCCTTGAGACTTGTATACACATTCTGTTAACATGGCTGTGTTGATACTGCGCAACCCAGACCTTACAGTTCAATAAATATTATGTTGGAGGTGTTAAGATGCTATAGGAATAATAATAGTGTGGCTTCTTAAGTTATACACTTCTCTTTTTTATGCAACGCATTGCAAAATCATCGTAATTTTTAGGAGAACTAAAAAATCTACTCATTTTAAAATTATTCATCACAAACATACCAGGGAAGTCGCGAAAATCATCCCTAATACACTCCTTTTTCCCTTTCTTTCCATCGATTGCGTGTATTTATCTCTTTTCTTTCCCTTTTACTTCGGTGTTAAAGTTTTTTTGGTTCAGTCTTTATAACCATTTTGACAATAATGCAAATTCAAATGGCGATGGAGCATTATTTTTAAGAAGTAGGGGTAACTGTTTCTTTTTCTATGAGGGGTAAACGGAAAGAGTTGCGCTCTTTCAATTACTTGGTATTCAAAAACTCTCACTCGATATAAAATACATAGAATTTCGCACCCCTTGTTACGAGTACACCCCTCGTACATATTTCAACCCCTGAACAACTTACGTGAAAGACTAGGTATCTTTTAAACTAGGTTAGACTAAGTTAGCCAACACTAAACCTAAATTTTAATTTTGCCACAATTGAACCAAGGTTGCACATATGGATCTCTGAGTGTTTATTCAGTGATAACATTATCAGGCGCGCGTGACCTTGGCTAACCATGCGTCATGCGTCACTTGAATATGAGCAATAATTTAACCGTTATTTATCAACAGAGAATTAAAACATACTGCTTTATACAATAGCTCAGAGTAAGTTTAAGAGTTTTTGTAATTCTTTAAATCTGTCAATCACAATGGGTTTCTATTGCAATCAATCATAAGGAATGTAAACAGATAATATCCTACTAATATTATAAATGAGAAAGTTTGGATGTGTATGGATGTATGGATGTATGTTTGTGACAAGTGAACGCGAAAAATACTGGTCGGATTGGACTGAAATTTGGCATGATGATAGCTCACATTCCCGATTAACATATAGCCCCCCCCCCCCGAGTTAATATTCTTATTTCAAAAATCCTTTCGGGCTCCGTCCCAGTGGCTCTGGAGTTTCCCATGTTAACCTTAAGAGAAATTGAATTATTGAATCTTAACAGCTGTTTCAATTAAACAAGTTGGTTCTGTTCTATGATGTTCAATAGCATTAAAGTTACAAGGATTACCAACAGGGTGCAGCACTATTATTTCTTTTACATTTATGACAACAACTAATTTGCAACCAAAAGGTGAGTGAGCGTAGCGAACGAACTTCAACCTGGAGGCGAGTTAGCGCAGCGAACGAGCTCCAACCTAAAGGTGAGTGAGCGTAGCGAACAAACTTCAACCAGGACGTGATTTGAGCCATTTGAACGAGATAATCTTGAAAATTAAGAAGTTAAACGGGGCAAAGCCCGCGGGTTACAGCTAGTATTATATAAAAACGCATGGTTAACTACAAACCGAAAACTAGCTATTGAGTAGGTCAAGGGAGTAATATGTGAAATTACCAAGTTTTTAATCAATGCAAAATATGCTTCACAACCCTCTTTTTGGGAAAAATACTATGTTTAATGTCTGCGAATCGTGAAAACTTACAAATAAAACTGAGTATTATAAAGAGTAAAGGCACCGAAAGCCGGTACAAGTATCTAGAGAAAAGATGAGTTGTGTTAATAATCACTGGATGTCGATTTAACAAATTTCAAATTGTCATTAGTAGTTTACATGATTTTAACCCTGTTTCCCAGCATTATTCATATGCTAGCCTAAATTAATAGATGTAAAACATTGGTTTGTGAACTAGTAACGCTGCGATTCAAGAAGTTCTAATGAGTACCAGAGTCAATTGTACCAGCCGGTACCGCGTGTATTTTATTCATTGGGCGATCCACTTATTTATTGAACCGATTTGAACTTTTTGTGTATAACAAGATTTTTCTTAAAGTTTAACATGCACATAATATACTTATTTTTACTACAACCAATTTTATCCTGAAGAAAGTGGACACCCCTAAACGTATTGAAAGCTAGTATTACAATCTAGCCACGCATGGAGGAACCTACGTGGTCCTCATGACAACATTATATATTTTTTGTTTACGAACTGACCCATTTAGCTGGCTGTCTAGTAAATCTATAAACTATCCGTATAGACACAAATTTCTGTTGCTTTAACAACTACACGAACTCTGATATTGTTTGCTGTTGCTTAAGACCTATTTGCATTTTTTCCACAGAAGATGAGGAGCCAGCTAGCCAGATGAGATGGTGGTTCTCTCCCAGTGGCTGTGGCTCACTGTCGGCTGGCTCACGTGGACCGTGCCCGGCTTAGACGCTTCACTCTGCGATTCTGGCTCACAATGTAACTGTAACCTGGGCAAACTTACGTGCGACTGTTCCACGTCCTTTCTCAAGGTAAGACTATTAAACTTAAGTTAAATATAGGTTACAAACGAATTCCTTCAGCTTTAGAATACCATCGGGGCAACTGGAAATTTGCAATGTAAACTTCTATCATCAAGTATGATTCAAGAAAGTATTTACATATTTATATCTTAAAAAAAGACACAGAAAAATTATAAATAGGAATGAACAAAGAAACGTATAAATTGAACTTGTACCAGCCAGTACATAAACGGTGACTTAACTTTACCGTGACGTTTCAGAGTTTCGCCACCAAATTTTTAGAATTTCACCAGGAGAATAGTCAAGAGTCAAAGTTTTGTCGGCGAATGTTCGGAGGCTCACCGAAAAGTGTTTAGAGCTTCCACCGTACTTTCCGTACAGAATTTTAAGAGCTTCACTGGCAAACGTACAAAAGGCTTTAAAGTCGTCCGATGCACTTTCCGTGAGCGTTTAAACCGTTTCTTTGCCATTCGCTAGTAAGTATGCATATTTTGAAACAATATATGTTAAATGAAAAAAATATCTTTGATTAATTCCCATAGACAAAATTTTAGACTTCAAAAACTGCAGTTGTCCGGAGGATACTTTAAACTTTACTTATACTCTATACTTTAATATCTGAAATGGCGACCATACGAAGGTAGGTATTTTAAGCCAAGTATAGAGATGAGTAGGATGAGTGACGCGTTCTTGTAGACTTGTTACTGATTAAGGCCGAAACGTTCCTTAGACAGGACTGTTTTTAACAAACTAATTAACTAACTGAAGACATAGGTTAAGAAATTATAGGCTAATTAAAATTTTCAGAACCCGCTTTGAATTCAACTATAAAGAAATTTAAATTCATATATATTTTCTCAGGACCAGCTTTGAGTGCAACTATAACCAGTTTGCAATCCACAAATTTACCAGGTAAATCTGATTCCCCCCCTGAAACACAATTGTCGAGGAGGGGAGCTTTGTTGGCAACAACGCGACAGGTGGCCAATGTAATGTCGCAATATTGTACCTCGGGGACTGGACTGATCCTAATCACGGTCCGACCTCCATTTCACGCTCTCCTGACGATGGACACCCGAAACAACTGAAATACTGACAATCTGTCTCGTTTATTTCTAAACTTTATCACCATGTTGTTTATTTGTGTCAACGGTTGGTGATCGTATTCAGCGGAAAACCACAATGTCGTATGAGTTTGACAATGATCGGTGCTTGTACAAATCTATTACCAATGTAACATATTTTATACATAGGTATGTGACTATTTTTTGCGTGAGTGTAGATATTTCGTTAATTTTTAGAAGTATTCAGTTAGGTTAGTATGAGAAATGATTATCTACTTCAATATTAAAAGTTTAGATTAAAGCTCGATTCACACATATCAGTCTAGTCACAGTTTAGTCTTCGTTGCATCCGCTATTCCTCTCAACTTTCCGTCAGTTGGTTTCAGTCAGTATTCCGTATCTAATGTGTACAGTGATGCAGAATTGTTTAATTAAAATCCTATATTATATCAAATTTTCATCGTCCATCTTGTTGATTGTTACAAACAGTACTTAAAATGTATACACAATCCTTTAAATAAGAAAATAACTATTTTCTAACCTCAAACACGTCCGTCAGGCGTCCGAACAATCCAAAAACATCGATGGAAAGAAATCTGAAATTGGCTGACGGACGCTGAAAGAGCGACTGAGAAACCAGCGCCAGATGAATGTAGATAACGCAATACGAAATCCATTAAAGAATATTTTGGTTGACTGTGACACGACTGATATGTCTGAACTGTGACGTGCCGTAACTGATAAGTGTGAATCGACCTTTATAATTGTATAGCGTTCAATAACGTAACTGTTGACAATGTAAGTTGAATCTTGTAACGCAGTTCGTTGTTGCAGGAAGTGGTGCTGAAGAAGACGTCTCTTGATCCAACCCTCAGCAGCATCAGTATAGCCAACTGTCTCCACGTGCATGTGCAGCCCAACGCTCTATCACACTTGCCTAGTTTGCAACAAGTCAGTGTTGCCAACGTAAAACAAGTTACTTTAGAAGAAAACGCCTTCAGTTGGACCACGAGCACTCCACAACAGCACCACACTGGACTTGTGATTAACATAACGAACTGCAACATCAACCGTGTTCCTAGTTACAGTTTCAAAGGCTTTCTCCGAGACATTTTGCTCAAATCACTCAATATTTCTCACATCAACAGTTACGCTTTCAGCTCAATCGATCGAGCAGAAAGAATCGAATTTCGTAATGTAAATATTTTAGAAATAAGCACGCAGTCTTTCAAACAAATTTCCGTGGAGTTCCTATCCCTGTTGGACACCACTTTAAACATTCTACCTGAAAGAACTATGACAGAAGTCACAGTGCGTCAAGAAGTACGTTTGGAGTCGTTAAACATTAGTAGGCTAGAAAGTTCAGCGTTGAAAATAAACTCACCGAGAAACTTTCGACTAACAAATTCTAGAATCGGTTATGTAGAATCAAATGCGTTCGAAGTAGGTACCAAAGGGGACGTTTCAATACACGAAAACGTGTTTTCCCATTTAGAAAGCCTCGCTCTCGCAGGGTTCCATGTAGAAGAAAACTACCTCGAAGAAGCTGGCAAACAGGATTTCGTTTTCGAGAACAACACTTTGATCGAATTCGAAAACGAGTGTCTAAAACTGAACACCTCCGGTTTTGATCCGCGGTTGGATTGGATCATGTTGAAACAAAAGTGTTCTTGTGACAGTGCCATATTGTGGGTAAACACTCTAGTCGTATACCCTAACATGCGTTTACCCATAGACAAACTTCTCTATTGCCTCAATCCGACGGCGACCAGACTCAGTGACTTCCGAAGACTTTACTGTAACGTCGCTAGGTTCAGTGTATTCGCTGTGGTCGTCGGTGTAGTTGTGGTTGTGGGAATCGTCTCTGTGATCTTATTAGTAGTTTATTGTGGAATTCGCAAGAGAGGGAAGAAATACATCAACGTTCCCACGAACAACTCGGCGCTGCGAGCTCCCGAAGACAACAAACGCCACATGTTGGTGGTTCCTGACGGGAAGACCTACAGGGAGACAGAGCTTCATGTCATATTCGAGCATGCTGAGGCCATCAAAACCACCAACTTCGTCAAAGGGCCTGATGAGCCCAACGGATAATACAGTAAAACCTACAGGGATGTTATGTGATAAAACTTAATGGTTATTTGTTAATAAGTTAATAAGTGACAAGATAATACGCTTATTTTAGACCTATCTAAGAATGTTAAATTTAATAGTTTAAGTTTTATAATAAAAAAATAATAAAAAATACCAGAAATGTTTTACTAAGAAAATAAGTAACGGCTTATTGAAGTGAGATTTTATAGTAAAATCATGTAATAAAGTATAGATATCAATTGACGACTTATTTTTCTCGAAAGAATTATTTTAATATTTATTAGGTACTATTTATCGGCATATAGCTTATAGTTTTAAAACAAAGGAACTATGTACAGTAAAACATACTTATTACGATCATTACACCCGTAGTTTCTCGTTTTTTTTCATTATGGCATAACGAAACCGATCGTTTATGATTGTTTGATAGTTAAAAAAACACCTACAGATGTGTTTATAATTTTGCGTGTTTAGATTTTATTGTAAACCAAAGTGAAGTATTAGATATTTCAAAATTATGTTGAAATATATTTATATTATGTTTTACTGTATAATATTTCCTGCTTTACGTTGTAATGTACCTCAAAGTGTAAATGTAAAAAAATAAGTTCTGCTATACTATCAAATAATAAAATTGTATGCAGTTTTTAATGTTTGCTGTGAATTTGCTTAATTACTGACAAAGCTTTTAAGTACACCAAAATCATGATTTATTATAATGTCAAATCTATGTATGAACAAATATTCTTTAAAGAAATCTAGTTAAGAATATTTATGACATATTTATGGGTTAGCCAATAATATTTTATAAAAAGTACATTTGTAAACCAATTGTATATGACGTAAACATGTAAATTTACGTAAGTGACTAAGTAAGCTTACTAGTAATATACATTTTCTCCAATATTTTGCAGACACAACTAATTACAAGTATTAACCCTGGATACAACGAATATGCTTTTGAATCTGTTGCAAACAAAAACAAACTGTTTTGATATCTGTTTCATGACCAGTTGTCCAACAATTCCATGTTGTCTACAAATGTTTGTTTCAAACTCAAGAGCAGTTTTCACAGTCAGGGCTTTATTGTTTGGTAAAAAATCCCAGATATTAAACTACAGTTACCAAATAAATGAGCCTATTTCACTAACAGGATTTTAAAAGTGTAAAAATTGCATCAAACGAAGAATTTCTTAAAATCTTCACCAGCAGAAAAGTAGTTCATAAATTTAATGGACCGATCCATAATAATGTTTAAATTACGTACTACGACAAATTTATGGTAATTGAGGAAGCAAGTTTTTCTATCTCACATTACAGAATATTATCTTGCATATCCTTTTCACTCATTAAGGAAGGGACGGGCTGTATATAATTTCTCCCTAGAGAAGAGTTTTTATCCACCAGCGTAGGTCACGTGATGTTTATTCTTATGTTTACGTTTGTCCGGCATCGGTCGTTCACCCTACCTACCCTTGTGTTTACATTCTAACACATTGGAATGTATTGACTGGCGTAATGTACTTGGTAGTCAGTTACACTAGTTGAATATAGATTTGATAAATTGATTCAAATACTTAAAGATGATTTTTTTTAGCTTATTTTAGAAATTAAATTATTAAGTCATAGGAACACAGTTCTTTATCCATCTATCATCTTAGTGGTTCAGCTGAATTCAACGTTAAGGTATTCCTTTTCTGGTTGATCTAGGGGGCTATTACTCATGGTTTTAACTAGATTTAAACTATTTTTAGTAAACCAAGCTACATAATTTTATCCTATTTTTGTCCTTCATGATTTTATAACCAAAGAGTAAAGGATATGTTTTAAACGTTATTCTCCTTCCAAAATTTTTAAAGATTAGTCTATGTCACCGTACTCTAGCCCAGCAAATCGTATAGAAAAAGCTTCCAATCTCGCCATAGGATAAGAATAATATAGAGTCAATCTATATCAAAAGTCTATATCAAGAAGCCTACTTGATATAGACTAATCCAAGGTTGATACTAGTACTTTGATTTACAGTGTGAATGTACTGCAAAATTCACTATCACCATCATTAATTTACGTATTTTTAGTTTGCAGTATCCATAGTCATCGCTCCATAATAAGTGGTTCATGTTATTACGACCTTTAAGCAAGTTGACATCCAAACAAACAATCTTTTGTCGCATTCCTGTGTAAGGCAACAGATAAAAAATTATTCAATCCGTTATAGATCAAAATTTTCTCATAATCATACGCTAAACAACATTTGTATGGGTAGTATGTATCTTATATACAAATGGCTGTAATGTGTAGTGGAAACTAACAGCTAGGCTTGTGCTGAATTTAGCTGCTAATGTGCTAAAACGCAGCTAAGGTTGCTGATTATAGCGTCTGCTGCTGTACAATACTTAGTACATGCAGTTTTGCTGAGCTGAGTAACGCCCATAGAACTACAACACGCCTACTGATTCTATTTTTCGGTGGTCAACAAAAGAACTAGGAATGCATCAAAGCAACAGTATCATGAAATTGAATTCAAATTGACTGTTTTCTTATTTCATTGCAAACCTTAAAATAATAATGCTCCACTCTTACAGCGATAAATATCTTTAAATTTTTGGATTGATGTTCTCAACCAATGTATATTTTCTAACTACCAACCTACCCCAATAAATGAACTTTTATTGGAATTAAATTATTTGCCACATTAAAGATTAACAATACTTTTGTTAATTTGTTTTCCTAAAACCACATTTAACATTGATAAGTATCAGGATAGTATTATTATCAATCACTCTACGGTTGCTAAGTAGTAAGTGGGTTAGGTATACTTGGTATTATAACTTCCGAGGTGAAAAACTATTTTAACAAATTTAAATGCTAACTTAGGAAACTTAACAAAAGTTTAAATAATAGAACTCTAGATGTATAAAACCACCAAAACATTTAGTATAGGCGTTAAAATGTATATAAAAATGGAAAGATGTATACAAAAATAGTGTTTTTGGCCTCTAGGGACATCAAAATGAAAAAAGTATATTGGTCCAAGGTCGTGCCACCTACGGGAACAGCGACTTCCCTTTAGGGAAATTTAAATTCGCTAAAAAGTTATAGTAAATGTATAAACACAAGAAAAACCATGGAAAATGGCAAAAAACATACTAAGTGCGATTTCAAACACATATCAGTAAAGTCAAATACGATTACCAAAGTTTATTCACATACAATGTAAATCCTGTTTTACAAACTACACAAGCTACTACCAGGTTTGGTTCTATATTTAGACCTGCATTAATTAGTTAGGCAAACAAGTCTCTGTGTAGTGAGACTTTACAAAACGCCAAGAGATGTTTGCAAATGTCATTCAGCAGACTAAAATAGCTCTGGCAGACTTTGGTGATCCCTATAGTGCGTAATGCTGCATGAATAGCACAATGTCACGGTCACAGTATACAATACTGCAACACAAGAAAATCACCTTTTACTGGTACCACCAGTATTTACATTTACATTAATCTTTCAATGTAAATTTTACTATGCTCATCATTGTGTTGTTTGCACGATAAAAACATAATTGCAACGTATAAAAACGGGATTTCAAACATTTAAAATGTAGTTGGTATGATCCACTAAAAATTTGTTTTGAAATAGAATACTCGTACACCTTTTTGAGTGCTAATTATTTGAGTATTGAATTCCCATTAAAATTATGCACCTTGTTAACAGTTTGTAAACTAGGTTCTTATCCAAAAACCTTTTCAGACAACAACATTTCTATTTTCGCATCGGAGATGGTCAATTTCAAGCAAATGGTGTTTAGGAAATCACAAAATTTTACAGTCCACTTGAGAAAAGTTTTAAAAGAGCTTAAAAACTATGACACTTAGTAAACGTATGACAGAATGATACTTCATTTTAGTTAGTGTTTCACAAAAAGACTTCAAACTCAATACAACAAAACTTGTTCGTAATAATATTCAGGGAAATCATCGTAGAAACAGGTTTAGGGCAGTCGATGTAAACTACGGGTTTCTACATGTTTCACAAGTTACACGCTGGCAAACGATACGGTAGTGGCGAAAGATTTTTTTACAAGGATGTGAAGATGTAGGCTTATGTATGAATGTATAAATGCATTTTATACGACTATATTTACTTATAAAGTACTTATTGCATACGCGTTTAATTAAGCAGTCTCAAAATGTATCTTCAGTTTTTTTTTTATCTGCTAAAAGATATTATCTAAGCCAAACTTTGACGGAAACAGCCCTAACTATATGGTAAGATGGTGACAAAAATATTTCGGGTTCATCTTAAAAAAAAAAAAAAACTAATTTAAATAAGTAATTCAATTGAATCAGCGAATTGTATGATTATTTCATGAGGCGTGTGACTATGAAGGATGGAGAAGGGAAACAATGAATCAACCATGTTTTCGAATGTCAATTAGGTTCGGAAAAACTATTCGAAACACACTTTTCGGAAACTAGAACGAACATAACTCAGAAGCTTTAGTCGGATTGTCATATTCGCTGGACTACAAGTAACAAATGGTAGTCTACTTTACTGTTGGTATATGTATAAGAACCGGGTTTTCTGCAACGATGACAATGTTTCTATTGAAATTTATCACTGAAGGTTTGTAAATAGCGTATAAATTGCAGTAGACAATTATTTACTTTGTTTTACTAACGATAAAAACAAAACATAGAAATATTTGAGCAAAACGTATTTACTAATAATCATTTAACAAAATATTATATATAGTACTTTAGCTAATGACGACTTCCAGTTAGCAAAGTAAATCTTCTTATCTCTAATTGTTAACAGCTTACGATTGATAATACTTTTACAATTTTGTTTTCGTATTTTCCACTAGAGGAGTAGTGATTTATAAAAAAATTTTGTTTACTAAAAACGAGTTTCCCAGATAACGTCAGACGTTTGGCGAGGTGGGTCTTGTTATCTCTAATGATAACAGTCAGTTATCGTGTAACACCATTTGAAACGGTTACATTCGTATCTCCCACTGTTATAAAAATATTTTCCGAAAAAGTTGCTCACCAACGCCAAGTTTTATTGTTACAATCTTAGCCAAGATTTGGCGATGCGATCTTGTTATTTCTATTGATAACAGCTTGTTATCAAACCAACGTTTCAACGATGTAACTTTTATATTTTACAGTAACCAAATTTTTTCTTTATTCAACTTTTTCTTTTTTTACCTACAAGTAGGTAATGGCATATGAGAAACATGTTTCATATAAAATCTAATTATTGGCACACACGACTTGGTAGCTTATATAATGCAACGATGCAAATATAATAACGGTGACATAAAAATGGTCGAGTAGCGAATTGTAGAATATTGGACTAGACAAACCGGTTGGTAAGAAATCAATATGAAAACATATTTATGTCATTCATAGTATTTGTTTTTTAGTTTATCAAACCCTTAGGTGCAAAATGATGTTTGATTCTATAAAAACCTATAACGACCTGACATATGTGGATTTAGATATGAATTCCAGAGTTTAGCTTTACTCTAAGGGCTAAACAATATTGAACAAATATTAAACAATATTGAACAGGAAAACGCGAACTTGATGATGGTCGAATAAAAACTGTAATATACGAACAAGTAATATTCTGGTTTTAAAAATCCATAGGCTATTGTAGGTAAATCCCTCTTGTTTAAATAAATACATACGCGCTAGAAAACAAGCATTTTAAGACTGAGAAGAGAATGCAAATTCCTCATTCAACTTTTACATTGCCAATCCAACTTTTGATTGCCACAGATTCAGCCACTACAGAAACTAGTTTCCAACTATCACGGAGTTGGCCGAGTGTGAAAATGACGGGAAAAGAAGTTTACACATATAAATAGTGGAAAAGTACATTTAACGTTGATATGTAGCAATATTTCGATAAGTTTGTGGACTTAACATATAGATGAAACATTCATGACATAATTAAACTCGTTTGACGATTAAAGCTTTATAGCTTTACTTTTTACACGTGATTAACTAAGTTATTAACTATAATTTTAATGTACTCATAGATACATTTATTAAAGTTCATGTCACATCCACTATTCAGTAAGTTAAAATGTTATTAATTAATTACAATAAAATAAATTAAAACTTATATGATATCGTCGTACACAGCTAGTATGAAAGTTGTATTACTTAGAACACTAATTATACAAAATTATGTTCATATTTAAATCTACCCATTACTTACAATAGTTATTTGTGTAACTAGTATACTCGCTTTCCACATTATATTTTTCCAGTAATAAAAAGCATATACTATAAAGCATATAAATAATTAGTCTTTCAACAACCATACAACACGTTTTAGATTAGGTTAGGTTAAAACCAAGCGTTGAACGAATTGGGAAACGCTGCACCAGCTGATCGTAATCGTAGTATCTTTAAGTGTTGCCACATTATTTTAAGCATACACGTATTAGGTGCCTAATAAAAGCATGTTTTGTATTGTTTAGTTGTTATACTGGAGTGCGACAAAAAATGAGTGCGGTAAAAGTAAATAAATGCAGTTTAAGCTAATTTGCGTGCAATAATCAAATAAGGACGCCCACTTTGTCAGGTGACTGTATGAAAAATACAATAGACTAACTACGATGCACGGAAATTCTACTGTTGCAAGTTTAACCACGAGATGTTCAACGCCAGTGATAAAGTCCAAGTTGAGATCGCACAAAGTTACAACCGATGATAACGGCTGGTCAGAGATGGAACAAAATACGATATCTATAACAAGGCGGCTGCGGACCAAATATCCTCATAAACCGAAACTTGCCGAACATCGATGTTCTCCCGGGAACAGTGGTGGAGTGCTTTATATCTCCACACTTTTATAACTGTTTTGTGATGGTGATATGCGTTATAATTAGGATAAATAGTACATAAAACGTGAATTCTTTTTTTTTACGGCGCATTAATAATATGAAAAGTGTAAATTCTAGAATTGAATGACGACAAACTAATTTATAAAATATTCTCCCACAAAAAATAACTCTGAACTGAGGATAGTTTAATGGGGAGTCTGGTTCTTAAAGATATTACATCGATCTAAACAACTTTAACAATAGGTTACTATGTTGCATATTTTAGAAAAAAACCTGTATCCTGGTCGATATTTATGGGGTAATCCACACCATGTTTTTAAAACTTCCTCCTCGACAGACTTGTATAATGAAAGAGTCTAAGGAAATCTTCGCATTCAACTGTTTTATATTTATAAACAGTAATTTTATGTATTTTTTTATTTATGGTTCAATTTTTATGTACTCAGTATTGTACAAATTATCGAGATTCTTAGATATACGTGAGATCTATTGCTAAGATTGTAAACACATTTAATATTGCTAAGATTGTGGTCTTCGACTGAGAATGTATACTATTCATGATACATGCGACCAACAAAAAACTAGTTTTAACACAGTTAATTTGGTAATATTTTTAAAGACATTCTACACATACTTTAGCACTGGTAAATTATTCAACACACACAGAAACAAGATTGCAGATGCCCTGATCAACGTTTAAAAACCAAAATTGAGTTAATACAAATCCATCCAATTTTTCCTAATTGGAACCACAATAGATTGGCAAAAAAATT